TGGGAAAAGGTTAGACCTAGATGCAATTTTTTTTTTTTTTTTTTTTTTTTTGAAACTTTTCGAATTTTTTTGTTTTTGCGACTCTTTTTGTTTTTGCGCTTGGACTTTCTTGAAATTTTTCTTGAGCCCAATTTTTATCATTTCTGGTTTGCGGCAAACATTGCTGGTTTACTTTTTCGACTTTTTTTTATTTTTGTTGGGTAACTTTCCGGACTTTGTTTTGCACTTCCGTTTTTTTTTTTGTTTTTTGGAGTTGCAACTTTTTTTAACTCGGAACTTTTTAAAACTTTTCTTGAACTGTTTTTTTTTTTGCAACTTCTTCAGTATTTATATTTATAGGAATATATTGTCTCGTAATTAGATAGATTGATTGGATAGATTGATTGGATAGATTGATTGGATAGATTGATTGGATAGATTGATTGGAGAGACAGAGGGAGGGAGAGAAGGGGAGGGAGAGGGAGTTGGGTGAAAGGATTGGAAGAGTTGGAAATTTGTCTGCCATAACTAACGCACTCCTGCTTAGAAATTGGATAGATTGGATCGATTGGATCAGTTGGATAGATTGGATCGATTGGATCGACTGATGGATTAGATTGGATCGATTGATTGGATAGATTGGATCGATTGGATCGATTGATGGATTAGGTTGGATCGATTGATTGGATAGATTGAATCGGTTGGATAGATTGGATCGGTTGGATCTCAACGAAATTGGGATGAATGGATAGATGGGTGGATGGTTGGATGGGTGGATGGTCGATTGGTGGATTAGATTGGATAGATTGAATCGATTGGATCGATTGATTGGGTCGATTGGATCGATTGGATCGATTGATGGATTAGATTGGATCGATTGATTGGATAGATTGGATCGGTTGGATCTCAATGAAATTGGGATGAATGGATAGATGGGTGGATGGTCGATTGATGGATTAGATTGGATAGATTGAATCGATTGGATCGATTGGATCGATTGATGGATTAGATTGGATCGATTGATTGGATAGATTGAATCGGTTGGACAGATTGGATCGCTTGGATCTCAATGAAATTGGGATGAATGGATGGATGGGTGGATGGTTCCGGGTGGATGGGTGGATGGGCGGATGATGGGTGGATGGGTAGATGGGTCGATCGGTGAATGGGTGGATGGACCGATAAGCGGAGGGATAGGGGTATCCTTCAACTCTTCTGGGACTGCTAAGTAAAATCCAAACATCGTCGTCAAATTTCCCAGTCGGGGTTAGAGAGAGAGAGAGAGAGAGGATTTTAATCCGAAAATCCAACGAATCTGGCAAAGTAGTTGGTGGGACCTTGCTGAATGAATAGACAGACTATAGATAGATCATGTATACAGTATAGATAGATCATGTATAGACTATATAGATAGATCGGCAAGGAGGTATCTGCCAGGTGACTTGCTGGTGGGCGGAATTTTGGAATTGTAAACAAAGAGGCGCAATTGTTGATAACAAGCAGGGTATGAGCTCGAATTCTGATAGACACGATACAAATAGGGAAATGGTGGGTGTCTCCGGTGCTGCTGACTCGTTGAATGACCTCTCGACCGTCTTCCGCCGAAGACAACCCGAAGCACTCAAACACGGGCATAGATCGTCTACATTCGTTCAAGATAAGGGTGTATTGTGGTCGTGGGAAGATGGGAGGTAGAGGGGCAGGACGTCCCCATCCGCATTTCGTGCGTCAGCTGGATCTTCGGGATAGACTTTGGAAAAAAAAAAAGGGCGGGAAAACGATCTGAGCCTGTTGACAGGCTGAAGTGGACAGATTTTCCCGCGCTTTTTTTGTGAACCCATGAATAATTGGATGCTTCCCCCTCCACCCCCTCACTCCCCCTGGGGGGCCCGTGCTGTCGTGTTCCCGCCCTTTTGTGTGAAACAGCATCAGATCACTTTCCCGCCCTGTTCATGGAAAAACGGCGGGAAAGTGCTCTGATGCTGTTTGCTGCCGGGCGCATGGCCCTACAGCTACCAACCTTAGGCTAGAGTTTGTATTCTTCACCCCCCTCTGCCCCCCTCTTGACTCCTC